AAAATACCGCCCGGAGAGAACGAATCATGGAGAATGCTTCGACCCGCGCCCGCGGCTGCAGAACTTCCTCGGGCGCGCCAGCGTCATGGTTTATCGAAGTCCCCAGGTTACGAGACATGGCCGGGGGGGGGGCCTGGCGCCGGCGGAGAGATCCTCCACGGACGTCTTCAAACATCCTGTTGATTTTGATGTTGGTTACTGGGCCTCTAGGTGATCAGACCTCCGACATCGTAATCAATTTTCAATCCGTGGGCACAATGACTGTCGACATACCCCCGGGACACGACACGTCAAGGCAGATTGTGCCAGCAACCTGAGAAGCCGCTTCAAACATCTAGAAGACAATGTTACGTGGTGGTTAACAGAACATCGGCGACGAAAAAGGCCGACGGGCAAGCCTGTCACCCCAGATTGTTCTCAGATGGCTGATGGCCTCGAGGCGCAAGACGGCCACCCGGGACCGAACAACAGCAACAACTGTTGGGATTGAACGCGTCCTGACGTCTGAGGTCTGGTGAGGATTGGCGGCGCACTGAGGGGGGGAAGGAGAGACGGGCAGCCTTCCGAGAAGGCACGGGCGGCTTCGCAGAAGCCCTCCTGACATCGACGAGACCACCCACTGAGGCCTCCAGGCGGGCATCTTGGAAGGCAGCAGGGCTGCCTTGGAGGCAGCCTACCTTCTGAGAGGGGCCGCCCTCGCTCCCCCCACTGATAGGAGGAACAAGAGACCGCATAAACATGACTTCTCGGAGGTCCGCGCGGCTTCTCGGATCGCCGCTGAAGGCGCCGCCAAGGGGGCCCCACGCCGATCCAAGAAATCTGCGCGGACCTTAGAGAACTTACAGCCGAAACTATGATCGATACAATCCTCATGTAAGAAGTCTGGGCCAGCTTCCCGAAGTGCTTGAGAGCAAGCCTGGGCACGTTTCTGCTGTGAGCGCCGGAGGGGCGAACGTGCCCAAAAGACTGGGCCAGCCGTTCGGCAAGCTGGTCACGAAACGCCGGCCCAGCCGTTCGGGCGGAGATCTCCTCACCACATGGCAAACGTTTTCTGATTCGGCGTTTCGACATTGGACGAGAGGGGGGGGGGTCTGGCTCTGGACCTCTGCTTCTAGCGACTGCTTGCATCAGTGCGCCCCATGGGGAGACTCCACCTGCTTGAGACAGGCGCCAAAAACAGCCAAGATCTCACCCATGGGGGTGGGGAGGGGGTGCGAGGGCCCGCGCCGATCGGCAAAACAATTAGTAAGAAAATGATCGCATGCTCGACGACGTGTTTGTGCCGTGCGCAGGGCCCCGCGGCGCCGGGCGGCTCCGAGAGCGTCAAGCTCCGCGGACTAGGTTAGTGCCGAATTCTCGAGCGCGGCCCGCTCTGGCCGGGTGCGCCGCGCGCGCGCGCGGGGGGGCGCGGGGGGGGGAGGAGGGGCGAAACGCCGACGCGGGAGCAAGTCCCTCGGGATCCTGGCGTCGCAATTCTTTCGCTCTGGGCCTTTTCGCCCAGAGTTCGGGCCCTGGGGCCCTCGCAGGTCGGTCCAGCTCGAGAGATGACGCAGAGAGATCGAGTCTGGGGCATCGGTCGCGGTTTTTCACGATGTTGCAACTTTTCGCAACGTCGGATCGCAGGATCCCGTGGCCGAGAACCTCTGTGGCCTTGGCCTTGAGTTTTGGGTCCCCCCCCTGTTTCTCTCGGCAGGGAATAAGCTCTGCCCCTCCTCCTCCTCCTCCTCCTCCTCCTCCTCCTCCTCCTCCACCTCCTTCTGCTCCTCCTGCTCCTCCTCTTCCTCCACCTCCTGCTCCTCCTCCTCCTCCTCCTCCACCTCCTCCTCATCCTCCTCCGCGTCCTCCTCCCCCTTCTTCGTCGTCGTCGTCGTCGTCATCGTTGTCGCGGCGTAGCTTATCATCCCTCTAGTGTTGGGCAGGCTGGATAATGTTTTGGGGCCTCCCTCCCACGAAATAATCCACTGCGGGCTACTCTACACGCGAAAGGATTGTGAGCATCTTCAAATGAGAACGGCAATAGGAATCAGTGTTTTTGGTTGTAGTCGTGATTGTGGTTGTAACTGGAACTGTGATTGTAATCGTGATTGTAATCGCGACTGTAGTCGTAGTCGTAGTCGTCGTGGTCGTCGTCGTCGTCGTCGTCGCGGCGGATATTGTTTTCCCACTAATGTTCGCCGCGCTGGATCATGTTGGGTTTTGTCTCCCAGCGAGCAAGGATCGCTGGGCGACCCTGCACGGAAGAGGAAGTTTGAGAACGTTTCCAAGAGGGCTGCAATATAAATCGACGCATTCTTCACCGAAGTCGTAGTCGTAGCCGTAGTCGTATCGTAGTCGCAGTCGCAATCGTAGCCGTAGCCGTAGTCGCATCGTGGCCGTAGTAGTAATCGTAGTCGCAGTCGCCGTCGCCATCGTAGTCGTAGTCGTCGTCGTCGTCGTCGTCGTCGTCGTCGTCGTCGTCGTCGTCGTCGTCGTCGTCGTCGTCGTCGTCGTCGTTGTGCGGCGGGTGCCGCTGATAAACAATCATTTTCCACTATAGATGGGGCCCCAGTTCGTCGGTAAGGGCGTCGAGAAGATGATTAGTTTCCACTTTTGGGGGTGGGCCTGAAGACCCTTCGAGGTTAAAGACCTCCGACGTCATGGGCAGATCGAGGCGCAGGCTTTTGTCCCCATGTTCGGCCTCCGCGGGGGGCGCCGTCGGGCCTCGTGGGGCCGCGGAGAGACGATCCGGGACGAAGAAGCGGTCCCCGAGGAAGGGGTTGACAGGTCCAGGGGCGGTGCATCGACCGACGGACGCGCGTGGGGCATATTCTCGACGTCGGCGTTGTTCGCAGGGGTAGGAGCCGAGAACACGAGCCGAATCTGGCCGAGATCGGCGCGTTCCCCAAAAACGCCGACGGCAACATTTCGAGGTGGGTCGGGATTGTGGCCACCGCCCAATATGTTTGAGGTCGGAAAGCTTCGTCGTAGTAAAAGAAGGGGTCGCAAACCTCCCAGACGAGTCACTTCAGACACCCCGCCCCGTCCGGGACCACCAGTATCAAAAGATGGACACCCCTAGCCGCGCCGAGACGAAGCGACTGCCCGCCTCTCGCCAGCACAACCTGAAGTAACCCCCCAAAACAACGACACCCTGCGAAATGCTTAAGAAATCATGGGTTAAGAAATTCATAGTCTCAGAACTTGAATAAAAACCCAACATTTCCATTAAAATCTTAGGATTTCCATTGAAAAATTAAGAATAATCGAGACTCTGGCCGAAAACTTAAGTTTTCTTAAGCATCGCCTAAGGTGTAGACCCCCCCTTCTTTACGAAAACTGGGGGTACGTGTTCCACAGTGGGATCCATTTGTGATGCACATCGGCTCTCGGCGGCGCTTCGTGCTCTCTGGCGGTGGGCGGTCCTCGGCAGCCTGGGGCAACCTTCCGCGCGAAGGCCGAAACGGCTACGCTCAACACGGGGACCGTGATCGAACAGCCTGCTCTTCCAGAGACCACTGTGGGCTGAAGGGCGCAGACCTGTGAATCCCAAGAATTTAGCAACAATAATTCGCTCCCGGGGCGAGAATTCGATGTGCCAAAACTTCCCCCGAATCCCCGCTGGCAAACCCGACAGAACTCGAATTGACAACCTCGCCCCGGCAACCCGCGCACGCGCCCACGCCCGCACCCGCGCCCGCGCCCGTGCCCGCGCCCGAACCCGAACCCGAGCAGGAACCCGAGCCCGAGTCTGAGCCCGAGCCCGGGGCACTGTCTCCTCGGAACTGGAAACCGGGGGCTCTGTGGGCCTGCGCCCGCGCCCGCATCCGCGCCCGCGCCCATGCCCTCGCTCGAGCCTGGGGCCCTGAACATGCTGATGCGCGCGCTTGCACCTCCTGGGGATCTTGCGTTTGGAACCTTCTGGCGTTCGCCCTGCATTCGTGTCAGCAGGTGCTTGGTATTATTGGTTTTCTCGGTTGTGTGCTCTTGGCATCATTGGTCACACAGCATCGCAATTCTTGGCATCGTGGGGGGGCACCACCCCTCAGACGAATTGTTGGTCTACTCGATAGCTAAGCCGACAATTCGGCTGCGGGGTGGTGCACCCCCCCTCCAATACCAAGCATTCCACGAATGCATACCCAAGAATACCAAGAATCCCGTACGAACGATACCAAACAGACCGTCCTTGGTTTTCTTGGGCTCGGGCTCGCGCGACGGGTTCCGGCTTGGGCTTGGGCGCGGGCACAGGCAAGGACGCGTGCGCGGGCTCCCGGGTCGTAATCAATTGGATGTGGGCCACGGGAGCGCGAGTGACGGTCTGGGAGCGCAGGCGACATCAATGCGAATGGGCCTTCCGCACGCGATCAAACTTCGTGGTGTTGGCACTTAGTTCTATCAAATCAAGATTTTGAATTACTGGTTTTCGAACTCTGAGATTTCTTGGAATGCTTGGTCGGGCCGCTGGCTTACAACACGTCCACGCCCTTCAACTTTTGGGCACGGCTGGGGAAAAGCTGCCAAGCCAGATCCAACCGGCTTGAGTCAACACGATAGGCCTGGATGAAGTCTGACTGCAAGCCAGAGTCGGCCCGACTTGGCCATGTGCGCACAAAGGAGACACCAAGGCCCAAGGCCAAGAACTGATGCAGCCTCCCAGGAGTGGCAGCCTGAAGTAGTGGAGGCCTCCCTAATGGGGTCTAAGCACATGGGGTCGGAGGATCGTGCCGCATCGCCAACGCATCGCCGATGCATCGGAGACGTCGGCGATGCATCGGCGACGTCGGCGTGGAGAACGTCGGGCTCCACGACGAGCCGCATCTCCGATGCACCGGCCGTGCGGCGCGATCCTCCGACCCCACATGCTCGGCCCCACCTAGAAGGCCTGGAGGCTAAGTGGGGGGACAGAATTTAGGGTTTAGGGTACGGCGCAGAGGCGGGAGGCAGGGCAGCAGAGATGAGGCCGCCGGGCGGCGCGGCGCCATGGTAGGCCATCGGCCATCGGCCCCCTCGCGTGTGGTCCCTCACTTCTTGTCCAGGCCAGTGACGTCGGACACGAAGGCGAACGGGTCCACGGCCTTCTCGACCGGGGCCAGGTCCGTGACGAACGGGATGTGCACTGGCCCCTTCGGCAGGTCCGTGACGAACGGGATGGCGGAGTGGCCTCCGGCCATGGCGCCCATCCCCGGGGCCGACGGCCTCGCCGCGGGCGGCGGGCCGCCGCTGGGGGCGGTCAGGCTCGTGAAGTCGCCCGTGAGGTGCGCCGTCAGCGCGTCCAGGCTGTCGAGCGCGCTGGCCCCGCCGGGTGGGCCGTGGGTGCTCCCCCGCGGTGGCGCCGCGGCGGCCTTCCCCGCGGCGGCCGCGCCGAGGCCGGCGCCGGGAAGGCCGAGCCCACCGAAGGCCGAGCCGGCGCCAGGCGGGGTGCGGCCTGCCGAGGCGGCCGAGGTGGGCGTGCTGCCGAACGGCAGGGCGCCGCCGAAGACGACCTGGCCGCCCAGGCCGTTCATCGCCCGGGGCCCTGTGACGGGGTGCGGGTGTCTGGAAGGACACTGCTTGCGTAGCCACCCCGATGCACAACACGCAACCCGTGGCGTGCTGACACGGAGCTCAACACGCAACCGGAAAACAAAACGGTGCCCAACACGTGCCGAGCCAACACGCAGCGTGATGACAGGGACATTTTGAGCACGGCACGTCGTGCGCTTCAGCACGGGCGTATCATGGGCAGCTCAGATCGTGCGTTTGCTTCGAGCCCCACTTGCCCGGTCTACCATGGCACGGCAAGCGGCGTCCAAACGGAGGCCCCCCCGCCCTTGCACGCGCAGCGTTCGAGGACTGCTCCTGCTCCGGCTCCCCCTCTCCTCCTGCTGCGTTGTCCTCCTCGTCGTCCTCCTCCTCCTCCTGTGTTTCCTCCTCCTCCTCCTCCTCCTCCTCCTCCTCCTCCTCCTCCTCCTCCTCCTCCCCCTCCTCCTCATCCCCCAACTTCTCCTCCTCCTCCTCCTCCTCCTTCTCCTCCAGTTGTCCTCCTGCTTGCGTTTTCCTCCATAACTTCCCGCCCCCCTGGGCCGTTCGGGCTCGGGGTCCCTCTCTGCCGCTGCTCCCCTGGATCCCATGGCCGTGCGGCCTGTCTCGCTCCGCCGCGAGGGGGGGACACCGGGGGGGGGGCAGTCAACCCCTCTAGCAAGGATGCCCGAGCGCCATGTTTACGTTTTTCGAACGGGGCTGGCCAGCGAAAGTGGCCAAAGTTGGCCCGAGGGGCAAGGATGCACAGGCAACCTTGGAAAGCCGCGAATCCTTAGTATGCGGATTGACGGCAGGGCGGGGGGTAATAAGGAGGGCGAGTGAGGACGCGACGTATTAGGGGAAGGGGGCGGGCTGGACATGCAACTGCCCTTTGCGAATGCCAGGGCCGCAAAGACAAGCGCCGCCAAGAGACACATGATAACAAGACTGCTTCGAGCAGTCCGCCCCCGGGAACGCGAGGCGGGATCTCCAAAGAACACCGCGGCATGCTTTGGGCCTGGTGGCCATGGTATGCAGTCGGCACTCGTCGAAGTCATGTGGCGAAACCCCAAGGGGCCTCGACGCACCTTGGGCCTGGCGGCCGCGGCATGCAGCGCGTGCGAGGCGGGTCGGCAACTTCGCTCGGTAAATCCTAGCAGACCCAACCTGGCGGGTGTCGGGGGGGATATCTTGAAACGAACACCAACAACTCAAGCCTACAGTACAAGTCAACCACACACACACACACACGCACACGCACACGAGGACACACGCACACACACGCACACGCACACACAGAGACACGCACAGACGCACACAGACACACACACACACAGACACACAGACACACATACACACACACACTTTCCGTCAGCGGCGAGGCGGCGAACTGGGCTTCAGCGAGAAGCTAGATAGGGGCACTAAGTAGACAATTGTCCGGCGAGCAGAAAAGGGGGACACACATATATATATATATATATATATACAAGACTGCAGTGGCGCTTCGCGCCATGCACCTTGGTCCTGGAAGTGTGGTATGCCGGCGGAATTGCAGGAAGGTCAAGCCGACAATTTAGCGATAACTCCTTGTTGCCTTTTCCGGCATCGCCTCTATAATAATGTGATTCGTCATCCTTCCTCCATGCTTCTTTTCCTCATGTTCGCCATACCCTGCGCATTCTCCCCATCCTCCTCAGTTCTTTGTTGCGGAGGCTCCTCCTTGGAGAGCCTCTGGGGGCCTCAAAAAAGTTGTTTCAGGCTTTCTTAATGCTTTCAGGAGGCCTCCTGGGTGTATTCTGGGGGCCTCTGGGGGCTTCCTCGGGCCACCCTGCCTCCAACCGCGGTCTCCCTAAACGACCGGGTCACGATTTGGAATGCTTCGGAGGGTGTCTTGGAGCCATCTTGGACCCGTGTTGTGCCGTTTTGGGGCTCTCTTGGACTGCCTGGAAGCCCTTTCGGATGTCAGTGGGGCGATTTTGGAGCCTCCCAGGCGGCTTCGGACGCCCAGAAGACCGCCGTCTTGAAGCGTCGGGAAGCCGAAAAGAGGAGAACCCCAAAATTCACCAAAAACCAACAGAAAACTAATGAGTTTTGCCTCTTGGGGCCTTCTTGGGAGTGCTCTTGGAGGCCTCTTTGGGGCCGTCCTGGAGGCCTCTTGGGCCATCTTGAGGTCACGTCGGTCACTCTTGGAGCACTCTTGTGCTGTCATGGGGGTCTCTGAGACGTCTCCGATGACACCCTGATCGCCCTAGGTCTGCTGGGAACCCTTGGCAAAACGCCCTGCGAGGCCAGGGGGGCCGCTTCGAGGCCCGCCCGGAGGGTCCCAAAGCCCCAGATCCCGGGAGTCCGGTTTTGGGGGGGGGGGGGGGACGGGTTTTCCCCGCGCCCGGGCTTACAAAAATATAGGAAGAGGAATATCTATCTATCTATATATATATATATATACACAATCAGAGAGAGGGTGCCCGAGCGGTCTTACTCCGTCCCTACTCGCGTTCCTCCGTCTTGGGGTCGTCTCTCCGGCGGCCACGCTAGGAGGCCATGCTGGGAGGCCAGGCTGGGAGGCCACACTGGGGGGCCACGCTGGGAGGCCACGCTGGGAGGCCACGCTGGGGGGCCACGCTGGCACGCTTGGAGGGCTCACCAAAAGGGGGCGGTGTGTCCGTAGCGGTTTCGGTTCAATCCCGCTAGCAGCGAGCGCGCCGAGGCCTCTAAGAGCGCCGCCAAGCACCCTCTTTCTTATCCGCAGCTGCGGGGGATTAGGTAAAAAATGAATGAACGGATGCGTAGGACAGGCCCGCTGCCCGTGAGTCCTTGAAGACGGCTATAGGGGGCCTGAACTGCTTGGGACCCCCAGGAAATCGGCCAGGAGGGGAGAACGCCAAATCTGGTCGAACTCCGTCTTCCAACCCTTCCCAGGGTCCACCCGGTGCAATTTTCCCCCTGGATGCGTCTGTGCCGGGGCCCGAGAACGATCTCCTGCGGGCGGCAAGCGCAACAAAACCTTCCTGCCCCCAGCCGGCTCCAAGAGCCGACCACAAAAACAGGAACGGGCGCGCAAGACAAGCCCGCTATAAGGCCGTGAGTCCGGCCGCCCGCCCCCAGCCCAGACATCCCGCGTCTCGATGTGTCTGTCCGACCGCAATCGCCCCCCCTGCGCGCTAACTTCGGGAGCGGCAAAGAGGGGGGCGTCAAAGAGGGGGGGGTGCAAATCATGACCGGCGGCATGTGCGCGGCCCGAAGGGGGGGCCAGGGACGTAATGAAATGAAAGAGGCGCCATGAAATCTGGGGAAATATCATGGCCCGCGCCATGATATCCACCCCCCCCTAGTCATCACCCCCCTCTTTTCCGCTCCCGATAACTGCTGCGGGATGAAACACCAGTCCCGGGGAAGTTCCCCGGGACTGGTTTTCCCCCCAGGGCTTGCCTGAGCGGATCTCACTTGGTCGACAAGAAGAATGGTGCCTCGGGGGGCCACTTTGCCCGTTCCTCGGAGATTCCTCGGGTTCCCAAGCAATGCCAAGCAACGCCAGGCAATGCCAAGCACTGCGCCCATGCAACTGGAAGCTTTCCCCTGATCTTGGTCGCGCCGGGTTCGCTCTCATCCCGAGTCGCTCTTCGGCGGCCCCGAGGCCAGGGGGCCCCGAGAGGCCGCACAATAGGAAGGCCTTGATCTCGATGTGACCGAGACTCCGAGGTTGCTTGGACGTGCCGCCGCGCCTCCGGCAGCGGGCGGCGGATCTTCGGTGGGGACCCAGGCCCCCTCGAGTCGTGCAAAATGCACGACGGACAATTTGTCGCTATTTTCGGGCTCGTGAGGTCCGGCCTCGGGACCATCAAAAGACGACTCAGAATGAAAAACCGGTTCCAGGGAATAGGTCGAAACCTCTCGGGATCGACGCCGTGAAAGAATCTCATGACGTCTGAGGGTCTGGGGATGCAGGCTGTTCCTTTCAGATTTCGTGGGGCCAATCACGACTGGGGTGGTGAGATGGTGGGGCTGAGATGCTACCATTGCTCGGAGGGGATGGGGATACAGTCGGACCGAGGCCAGAAGAACACCCTCCAAGAACATCAGACCCTCCGCCAGCCAAAACAAACAGAACATCCAAGGGTATCCTCCCCAGGATGCACAAGAACATCCAGCAATCACGAAGAATACTAAGGTAACTCTCCCCGAACCGACCTCCGCCTTAGGCCTCGGCCCGACTGCAGTACCATGGCTCGCTGTAGCTGGGGACGCTGGGCCAAACCATGCTGAGCGCTTGGGGGGCAGGCCCGCTGAGAGGCCCGCAGTATATCCGGCCGCCCCCCCGGGGTGCCGCCGCGCCTCCGGCCGCGGGCGGCGGGGCCGCCATCGCCGGCCCGGCGCCCAGCGGCAGCTGCGGCCTGGCGCTCGGGTTGAACAGCCCGAGGTCGGGCGGTGCGGCGGCGGTCGCGGCTGGCTGCGGGTGCGCCGCGGCCGCCTGGGGCGGCGGGGCTGCCTCGGGGGCTGCTTCTGATGGGACGCACATCAGGACACACTGTACTGCCCTCGTCAAAATGGACCTTAGGAATGGCGGACACGCCCTTTCGAGGTCCGCGCGCCCTTCCATGTCGATACACGGCCCCTCACATGTCGGGGCCACGGGCAAAAGTGGTCTGACAGGGAGCGAGTCGAAAGTTCGATGATGACCGACATTGGAGGGGCGGCGCATACAACTACCTCGAACTCCTCGCTACTCAAGCAAATATCTTCCCATAGGCAATTCAGCTACGTGAGACATGTTCTGGGGTGAAATTTGACGAGGGTTGTAATACGATGTGCCCTTGTTGGGGACGCATGCGTCACAACATTTTAGTGCATCGATTCCCGAGCGGTACGGACAGAAGGCGCCCGCCACAGAGCTTATACTAGAAGATTTCCGAGCGTGCGCGTCGCCCTTGCGTGGCCGACGCGCAGTTCATATAAGTACCTATACAACCGCCCTTCGGGTGATAAGGAGGTTCGGGAGGGGAGGAACCAACGTCTCACTCGATCGGTCTCACGATCGATCTCACTATCGATCTCACTATCGGTCTCGCTCGATCGATCTCACTCGACCGATCTCACAATCGATCTCACTCGATCGCTTTCATTCGATCGATCTCACAATCGATCTGACTATCGATCTCACAGTCGATCTCACCATCGATCTCACTATCGATCTCACAATATATCTCACACTCGGTCTCACTATCGATCTCACAATCGATCTCACAATCAACGTCATCATCATCATCAACATCATCGTCATCAACGTCATCATCATCATCATCATCATCATCACCATCGGGACATCATCATCATCACCTCATCACCATCATCATCAACATCATCATCACCATCATCATCATCATCGGGACACCATCATCGTCACCATCATCATCATCATCACCATCATCGGGACGCCACCACCATCATCATCGGAACACCACCATCATCATCACCAGATCATGATCATCATCATGAACAACACCATCATCATCATCATCATCATCATCATCACCGGGACACCAGTATCATCATCATCATCAGAAACATCATCACCATCAACATCATCATCATCGGGACACCATCATCATCGTCACAATCATCATCATCAGCATCATCATCGAGACACCACCATCATCATCATCATCATCGGCCCACCATCATCAAAACCATCATCACCACCTCATCATCATCCTTATCATCAACATCATCAACATCAGCATGGGGACACCACCATCGTCATCATCATCATCAACCTCAACATCATCGGGACACCTTCATCATCATCACCATCATCATCAACAGCATCATCAACCTCCTCATCATCATCATCGGGACACAGTCATCATCATCTTCATCACCATCACCAACATCATCTCATCATCGACGTCATCATCATCAACATCATCATCATCGGGGCACCATCATTGTCATCAACATCAGCATCATTAACATCATCATCACCGGGACACCACCATCAGCACCACCATGGTCATCATCATCATCATCACCATCATCATCATCATCATCGGGACACCATCATCGTCACCATCATCATCATCATCATCATCATCATCATCGGGACACCGCCATCATCATCATCATCATCATCGGAACACCACCATCATCATCACCCGATCATGATCATCATTATCATCATCTCGGGACACCATCTCAACATCATCATCATCATCATCATCATAATCAACATCATCAACATCATCAACACTGGGCCACCATCATCATCACCATCATCATCATCATCGTCGGGACACCATCATCATCGTTACAATCATCATCATCACAATCATTCAGCATCGGGACGCCAGCATCATCATCAACATCAGCATCATCATCATTGGGGCACCATCATCAAAATCATCACCATCACCTCATCATCATTATCATCAGCATCGGGACGCCACCATCGTCATCATCATCAACATCATCATCATCGGGACACCATCATCATCACCATCATCATCAATAGCATCATCATCAACCTCATCATCATCATCACCATCATCATCGGGACACCATCATCATCATCTTCATCATCATCTTCATCATCATCATCATCATCTCATCATCATTAACATCATCAGGATCATCAACATCATCATCATCGGGACACCATCATCATCATCATCAGCAACATCAGCATCATCATCACCATCACCATCGGGACACCATCATCATCACCACTATGGCCATCATCGTCATCACCATCATCATCGTCATCGTCATCGTCATCGTCATCAACATCATCATCATCATCATCATCATCATCATCATCATCATCATCATCATCATCATCATCATCATCGGGACACCGACTGGACACCGGCGGGACACCAGCGGGACACCGCGCGCCACCGGCCCCCGGACAGGAAACATTTGGTCCGTCCGCGCCTCAGCCAGAGGCGGGACACTTCTCGCCCGCCCACGCAGCTTCGCCTCGCCCGCACGCACGGCACGCACGAACACGAAACCGAGACCGATTTCCCGGTAGGGGGGCTCTCCGTTCCACTTCGATCTCACCCCCTCACCTCTGACCTCTGACCTATACGACCACCCTTCGGGGGACAAGGAGGTTTTTTTTTGGGAGGGAGGAACCAACGCCTCACTCAACGGGACACCACGAGACACCACGGGCCACCACGGGACACCACAGGACACCACGGGACACCTCTCGATCTCACTATCGGTCTCACTATCGATCTCACTCAACGGGACACCATAGGACACCACGGGACACCACGGGACACCTCGGGGCACCACATCGATCTCAGTATCGATCTCACTCTCGATCTCACTCAACGGGACACCACGGGACACCGGACACCACGGGACACCACGGGACACCACAGGACACCGCGGGACACCGCTCAAGCCACCGCCTGACGGACGGACGGACGGGGGAGGATCATTTGTATTGACTTCGCCCTAGCAACCAGCGGCGGACACCACGGAACATCACGGGACACCACGGGACACCGCGGGACACCGCTCAAGCCACCGCCGGACGCGCGGACGGGGGAGAATAATGTGTCTTGACTTCACCCTAGCAACGGCGCACACCACGGGACACCACGGGACACCACGGGGCACCGCGGGACACCGCTCAAGCCACCGCCGGACGGGCGGACGGACGGAAGGGAATCATTTGTCTTGACTTCGCCCTGGCAACGGCGGACACCACGGGACACCACGGGACACCACGGGACACCGCGGGACACCGCTCAAGCAGCCACCGCCGGACGGACGGACGGGGGAGAAACAGTTGTCTTGACTTCGCCCTAGCAACGGCGGACACCACGGGACACCACGGGACACCGCGGGACACTGCTAGGGCCACCGCCGGACAAACGGAGGAGAAACATTTGTCTGACTTCGCCCTAGCAACGGCTGGTTCATTCCTCTCGCGCGCCCACGCAGTTTCCCCTCGCCCGCACGCACGACACGAACCCATCATTGCGCAACGCCCCGCTGCCGCGGTGAGGTCGAGAGTCGGGAAGGCGTCCGCGCTGGCCTGCGGCGGCGCCCCGCCGAGGAGGTTCAGGTCCTGCATGCCGGCCTGCACGGGGGCGGTCAGGTCCAGCGCAGGGGCGGGGCCCGCCACCGCGCCGACGTCCATCAAGTCCAGGTGCCCCGACCCGCTGCCCTTGGCGGCGGGAGCTGCGGCGGCGGACTCCTTCGGCGTCGAGACGTCGCCGAGCAGGTCGGCCGCGGCTGGCGCAGCCGCCGGCTTGGCCTTGGGTTTGGCCTTAGGCTTCGCCTTGGCTTTGGCGGCCGCCTCGCTCTTGCTGGGCGGTGGCGCGTCCTGACCGTCGGGCGTCTTGCCCATCAGCTTGAGGACTACCTGGGAGGCCTTCTCCTTACACTGGTGCACGTCCACGAGGTACTGGATTAGGCCCCCTCCCTTCTCGACCACGGTACTCGCGATCTCCGCGCCGACACCACCCTCGTCGTGAAGCCGCTCCAGGGCGTAGAGCGCCCTCAGCCGGGGCTGCCACTCCAGCTCGCCCCCTGCCCAACTCAGCTCCTCTAGAGGAACAAAACACGGCATAAGCATGATTTCTTTGAAGTCCGAGCGGATTTCTTGGATCGGCGCTGGAACCCCCTCCCTGGCGCGCGGAGAGCGCCACTGGCGGCGCCAGAGGCGCCGCCAGGAGGGTCGCAACACCGACCCAAGAACTCCGCGCGGACCTCAGAGAAATCCTGTGCATGCCATTTGTTGCCCTCCGATCCTCGTAGAAGGCGCTCGCGACGGGGTCGGGCCGCAGAAGGCTGCAGCTCACCCAGAACGCCTCTCGGGTCGGGCGAAAGGGGGGGATAGCAAAGGGGGGGTTTGAGAATCAGCTCACGTAGCTGATTTTCCCGGCGCCTCCCAGCGCCGGAGGCGGCTATGTATCGAGGAATGGGCCCCTCGGTGGGGTCGAAACCAGCTGCATGCAGCAGATTTCGTAACCCCCCCTTTCCCAATCCCCCCCTTTCGTCCGGCCCGAGCCTCGAGCTCGGCCGCGTTCGGCGCCACCCGCGTGGCCGGGTACTTCTGGCAGAAGCTGGACACGAGCTTGGCGGCCTCGCCGCGCGACCGGGGCGACCCGGAGTCGTTCCTCTTCCGCGCCCTGTCCTCAGGGGAGCGACATACAGGGACCTAGGGGGATAACACGTTACATATGCAAAAAACAATAAGGGGAAAACAAACCTCCCTCGCTTTTGACCACCCTCGCTTCCAAGAGATACCAAACGATGCCAAATTGCAGCCTGTACTGATCAGGCCGCTTGACGAGGAGGCGCGTGGTATGGCTTGGTTTTGCCTGGAAGCGAAAGCGGGGTAGGTAATTCACGCTCTGAAACAAAGGACTCTCAATGCTTGTTCCAAATGCCCTGGGTACTTCTCTTCCCCAATGTTCCCCACATTGCCACATATCTGAATGGAGATCAGCGTTTGTGTCTTTGTGTCTGGTTCCTGGCAAAATGAATATGAATATAAACTTCCAGAGTTCTTGCATCGCCGCTGGACCCCCCCTCCCTGGCGCGTGGAGCGCGCCAGGGGCGGCGCCGGAAGCGCCACCAGGGGGCGCAACGCTGATACAAGACATCCGCGTGGACCTCCAACGGCTTGTGCTGTTCGTCGGCGTCCTGCGCGCTGGAGGAGGCGGGCTGGGCCTCGTCGTCGCTATCCAGCCCCAGGGCACCAGCCATAGCGCTCTTCACCTCGCTGCCGAGCTCCTGCAGGTCCTCCGCAGCCGCCTCCATCACTTCGTTCACCTTCGGTGGCAACTCATAGAAACCTTCCGTAAGTTGGCTCTTGAGAGTCGACGCTGATCGATGATAGTCGACGCTGCATCGACGCTCAATCGGCACTCTCCTATCGACTACCAGACGCAAGCGCACGAATATATATACACGGCCCCCATGATTTGCTGCCAACCTCACCTGCGACGCGATGCCCTCAATTGCGTTCTTCATCTCGGGGGTGGCGAACTGGTCAACGATGGCATTCCAGCCCGAGGCCGGTGGGCCTTGGTCAACGCACGTCATGCACAGGTACCAGTTGCAGAGCCTGCAGTCCATCACCTTCTCGTTGGTGAACACCCTCCGGGAGCACCCGTCGCAATGGCCCTGCCGCGCGGACCACTGCTTCAGGCTGTGGCCGGCCGGGCATTTCGTCGCCTTTTGGGCGGCTCTCGGGGTGGGTGGGAACATTCCCAACGGCACCGCAACCGCTGTCCGAATCAGAACAGCGACCGCTGTTGGGCAGACGAAGCTCGTCACTGATGGCGAGAGTCGACCGCATCCGTATCCACCCCCTCGCTGTCTGGACTCCAGGGCGCGATCCCGTGCCCGCGAAGCCGTGAATACGGATCTGTGATTCGGAAACCCTGCACCCAAAAATGCTGTCATCTCTTGGCCGAACTTCCGCCAGCTTCCGCTGGCGGAGACGCCCTCGTTTTACATACGCCGCCTTCCGCCGAGGAAGAGGTGGCGACTCTCTCGATTCTCGAATGCGAGGCCTTCTCTGGAATGCCTCGTGTTTCCCGTGCAAGATCTAAACGGACCACGTCCGCCCCGAAAGCGGCAGCGAATCCAACCCCGTCGCGACAGCCGTGGCCATGTGCACCGTACCTTTCCCACTCTGGGCGCCCCGAGCCTTCTGGATCGGCTCCGACACGGACCCGTCGTGCCCGAAGCCCTGGATGCGGCTCTTGTCCAGCGGCATGCCGGTCGGCGACAACCGCCTTCCCCGAGATCCAACGTCATGGAGCAACAAAAAAACACGGCGAGGAGGGGGAGGGTGAGGAGGCTACGACGATCTCTGCGGTTTTCGGTCAGCTGGCCGCGTGCTAGGACGCCCGCTGTGAGTTTTGTCCGTGGCGCCCGGATCTAAGGTCTTCGGACGTCCCGGAGGTTTCTGGAGGCCACAAAGCGTCCAAAAATGTCTAAGACCCCGAATCCTCACGCCTCTATTCGCCGACCCCCTCTAGGCTTCCCTCGTACGTGGGGCTGCCCAGGATGGGCCGGGAATATCCAAGGATGAAAGGGTGCCCTCAGAAAACTGCTCATCCTTCGGGCGTAGACTAACCCTGCTCAACCAACAAACAACTGCGCTGCTTTTCTCTTGTAGAACTGACGAAGCCCGGCCCAACCGACAATCATGCGATGTTCTGTTCAGGGTCGCGAGCGGCTCCCGATCCTGGCTCGGCCAAGATACGGCCTGCTGGCAGGATCCTGCAGGAACCGGCGCTCTGGCTGAGCCCCGATTGCGCTACACCCCGTCAATGCAAGCAAGAATTGTATACACTGCGTCTTGGAGTTTGGGGCTCGCTCTATGAGAAACCAAAGGCGCAGTGGATATGGATAAACATCTGGCCCGTAAACGCAACATGTCCGTCCATATCCACTGAGCCTCGGACTTTTGGCGCCGCTTCCCAGAAATTCAAGACACTGGAAATAAAGATATGAACCTTGCCCGCACTGAACTCTGACGGCTGAATCGCCCCACTTGTCCGTGCTCGTCGTCCTCCTCCTCCTCCTCCTCCTCCTCCTCCTCCTCCTCCTCCTCCTCCTCCTCCTCCTCCTCCTCTCCCTCCCCCTCCCGCCGACTCCCGTGTGTGTGTGTGTGTGTGTGTGTGTGTGTTTGTGCCTGTGTGCGTGGCCGTCGTCGTCGTGGTGGGCATCGTCATGGTCGTCATCGTCGTCGTCGTCGTCAGCGGCGACGGCACGGTCGTCGTCAGAGTGCAGGCGCCTGGCGCCTCGCGGTCTCAGTTATATCAAGGCCTCGCGCACATGTGCGCGTGCCGGTGGGCGCGGCAAGGGGGGCGGGGGCCGGCCCCGTGTCTGAGCCGAGCAGCGTTGCGGAGGGGCGCTCGAGCAAGAGGCCCGCGCCTCTTGCGATCTGGGCAGTCGTACGCGCTCGAGGCAGAACGACTCCGACCATCCCCAGAATAGGACCGCAAAGCGGCTGAATTACCCCAGTGCGACCCTACCTAGAAGTTGGAGCCCCTAGGAAAGCAGCAGTAGTTGCTATGCTATGCCATGCTATGTTGCGCTATGCTATGCAATGCTATACTGCGCTATGCTATGCTATGTTATGCTATGCTCTGCTATGCTATGCTATGCTGCGCTGCGCTGTGCTGTGTTGTGCAGTGCTGCGCTATGCTATGATATGCTGCGCTATGCCATGCTATGCTGGGCTATGTTATGATATGCTGTGCTGCGCTATGCTATGCTACGCTATGCTATGCTATGCTGTGCTCTGCTATGCTGTGCTCTGCTATGCTAAAGCTCAGCGAAGCTAATATGAAGGTAAGCTAAGCTAAGACAAACCTGAGCTAAGATGAAGCTAAGCTAAGCTAAGATGAACTCAGCTAAGTTAAGATGAGATAAGCAACGCTAAGCTAAGGGGACGTAACTGGGGGAACCGCGGGGCGGATCCTGGGGGAACCGCCCGGGGCGGTGTGCACTGCCCGGCCCCTTTAAGAAAGAGAGTAAGAGCCCTCTAGGCAGAGCCTAGGTAGGGAATGTATGTATATATATATATGTATGTGTGTATATGTAGAACCTATTTATATAGATATACACAAGACTGCAGTGGCGCTTCGCGCCATGCACCTTGGTCCTTGAAGTTGGTATGCAGGCGGAATGGCAGGAAGGTCAAGCCGACAATTTAGCGATAACTCCTTGTTGCCTTTTCCAGCATCGCCGCTAAACTGATGTTATTCGTTATCCTTCCTCCATGCTTCTTCTTCCTCATTCTCGCCATACCCTGCGCATTCTCCCCGTCCTCCTCAGCTCTTTTTGCGGACGCTCCTCCTTGGAGAGCCTCTGGGGGCCTCACAAAAGTTTCAGGCTTTCTTAAGGCCTTCTGGAGGCCTCCTGGGCGTGTTCTGGAGGTTCTGGGGGCTTCCTCGGGCCACCCTGCTTCCAACCGCGGTCTCCCTGAACGACCGGGGCACGATTTGAAATGCTTCGGAGGGTGTCTTCGGGCCGTCTTGGGCCGCCATGGGGCTCTCTTAGGGCCATCTTCGACCCCTGTTGTGCCGTTTTGGGGCTCTCTTGGACTGCCTGGAAGCCCTTTCGGATTGTTGTGGGGCGATTTTGGAGCCTCCCAGGCGGCTTCGGACGCCCAGAAGACTGCCGTATTGGAGCGTCGGGAAGCCGAAAAGAGGAGAACCCCCAAATTCACCAAAAACCTACAGAAAATCAATTATTTTTGCCTCTTGGGACCTTCTGGGGGGTGCTCTTCAAAGCTTTTTGAAGCCTTTGGGGCCGTCCTGGAGGCCTCTTGGGCCATCTTGAGGTCACGTCGGTCACTCTTGGAGCGCTCTTGTGCTGTCTTGGGGGTCTCTCGGACGTCTCCGAGGACCCCCCTGATCGCCCTAGGTGTGCTGCGAAGGCTTGGCAAAACGCCCTGCGAGGCCCGGGGGGCCGCTTCGAAGCCCGTCCGGAAGGTCCCAAAGCCCCAGATCTCGGGAGTGCGGTTTTGAGGAGGGGTCCCCCCGCCTGGGCTTAAAAAAATATAGAAAGAAGAATATGTAGAGCCTGGGGGCTGAACCGAACGGTCGTTCACTGCCCCTGGGTGCGTGGCTGAAGTGGAATTCCGCGATGCGGATTCTTGTTGTTGTTGTTGTTGTTGTTGTTGTTGTTGTTGTTGTTGTTGTTGTTGTTGTTGTTGTTGTTGTTGTTGTTGTTGTTGAACATTAATAATTATTGTTGGGCCCCCTGGTGCGCGCCCCCCCCTGCGCCGCCTAGGCCGCAGCTACATTTTCATCATTTTCGTGAGGAAGCCTCAGAAAAGAGGGTGTGTACAGGATCCGGTTGTTTTGTTGTAATCCGCTTTCCCTTGCAAAAAACAATAGAAAATGACATTTCTTGTTCTAATATAATCAAATTTCAAGAATCCCTTGCAAAAAATAAGGTAAAGTGGACATTCGCGCGCGCAAGACGAAATCCTTCCAAAACCTTAGTGTTCGCAGCGATTTTAACATAAAAACATCAAAAAACCAATGGTTTTTCAACAAAAAAATGTCAAAATCTCATCCCGCGCGCTCTTGCGGATTCGTAGGAAACCCAACACTTTTTAAACATTTCTGTCAAACGGGCTTTTGCGAGCAACTTTTTCGAACTTCTGCGACAACGGTTGCGCACCTGCCAGGGCCATCATCCCTGTCAAATAATACCATGCGGGACACATTCGTTTTTTCTTCGCGCGCGCACGCCGTCGTCGTCGGCCGCGGGGCCCTGAATAGTAGCCACGGTCGTCCGCATGCCACGAAGTGAAGTGTCCGAACGTCATAGGGCGGGAAGCTGGGTGTGGGTGGTGGCGAAGAGTCGTTTGGAAATTTGGTAGAGCTTGAACCGGCCCCCCCACAAAGTGGGGGTATTGCCCGCCTCCTATGAAAACCCTGGCACTGGTGAGAACGGAGTGTCCCCACGTGCTAGTAATTGTTTTTATTGTTGTTGTTGTTGTTGTTATTGTTGTTGTTATTTTTGTTGTTGTTGTTGTCGTTGTCGTTGTCGTTGTCGTTGTTGTTGTTGTTGTTGTTGTTGTCGTTGTCGTTGTTGTTGTTGTTGTTGTTGTTGTTGTTGTTGTTGTTGTTTGTTGTTTGTTGTTGTCGGTCCCACCCGCGACCCGCCCCGCGACCCAACCGCGACCCACCCCGCGACCCAACCGCGACCCACCCGCGACCCACCCCGCGACCCACCCGCGACCCACCCCGCGACCCACCCGCGACCCACCGCGCCCAGCGACCCACACGCGACGCACCGGCGACCCACCCGTGACCCACCCGCGACCCACCCCGCGACCCACCCCGCGACCCACCCGCGATCCACCGCGCCCCACCCGCGACCCACCGCGACCCACCCGCGACCCACCCGCGACCCACCCCGCGACCCACCCAAAATTTTCGGCGCCTGCGGCTGGTTTCTTTTGCACTCGTTCCAAGTGGAGAACCTGCGACCCACCCGCGACCCAAACCGCGCCCGCGACCCTCGCGACCCACCGCGACCCACCCGCGACCCCCCCGCGACCCACCCCGCGACCCACCCAAAATGTTCGGCGCCTGCGGCGGGCTTCTTTTGCATTCGTTCCAGGTGGAAAACCGCGACCCACCCGCGACCCAAACCGCATTCAGTGTACAAATCGCAATTTTCGGCGCCTGCAGCGGGCTGTTCTTGAATTCCTTCCAGTCGGAGGTGGAGAGCCCGCGACCCACCCGCGACCCAAACTGCGGACGACGACGACGCCGACGACGATGAGGACAAGGACGCAGACGAGAAAGAGGAGGAGGAGTAGCAGGAGGAGGAGTAGGGGTGGAGGAGGGCGCCATCGGCAGGGAAGGTGAAGGCCACGAGGTCCGCCGGCTCGACGCCCGCCTCGCCCGCGCCCGCCCCCTCACTCTTATCCGCAATTGCGGGGTGCTAAGTATATGCAAATTACTGCAGCACACATTCCGGAAAAAGAAGGACAGGGCAGAGGAAGGGGAAGATCTCGCGACTGCGACACAGAGTCAGCTCACCCAAGCTTGAAACTGCCAAACTACTAGTGTTGCTGCGCGCTGCTGGCGCCAGCCAGGGCGGACAAATCCTGCCTCCCGCGGCATGAACTGATTGCGGCATGAACTGTGCGCTTTGCTTGCGTGCTGCCCGTCGCGGGTGCGTCTTGCTCGTGACCTCTTGCAGCCGCGTGTCAAACACGAAACCCGTAGCAGGCCTGTGAGAAGGGCAGGAAAAGAAGGGAAGCAAGGGGGAAGTGGGTCCTTTGGGGACGAGTCCTGGACCCTGGGGCCCCAGGGCCTCCCCTGGGACAAGCTGTGTGCAAAATCAACTTGTGATTGTTCGAGGGCCCAGGCAGGGCAACGCGAGGCCCAAGACCAGGACCCTTTTCTCTCACGGCTCCGTTTTTTCATGGTGAGGCGAAGGAGGAGGAGGCGGAGGAGAAGGAGGAGGGGCATCAGGAATAGGAGAAGCGTGGGGAAGTGGATGAAGGTCTTTCGGTGTTCAGGCAGCGGGCAAAAACGCTCGGGGGGAGGGAGGAACGCGAGGATGAAACGCGGGACGAACGATTTTCTCTCTAACGCATCCAGTCCCCTGGAGTTCCTGGAGATGGTGGCGGGGGGCCGCCCGGTACTCGCGTCTCCGGTATTCTGGGCGTCCGAGACCGCCAGTAAGCCCTCAATATCGCCACAAAACCTACCAAAACTGTATATCAAAGCAACCCGAAATAACTCCGAACCTGTCCAACTGGACCCCAAGTCTGCCTCAAGAACGCCCTTATGGCCCCAAACGCCCCTCACGGCTCTCCAAATCGGGACCCGCCCCTCAAGGCGGCAACATGGCCCTAATATGCCCCCAAACGCCCCCCGAATGCCCCACAGAGGCCTCCAGAACCGCCACGGAGCCTTCCAGGACACTTGAAAACCCTTAAGTCGGAACCTCCATTTATCAAAAACGAGGACGGAGAACTATTTGCATGGAAAGGTAAGAAAGATAACCGGAACAAGAAAAGAAAGGGAGGAGGGGGAAACGTAAGAGAACACAGAGAACGAGAGAAAGAGAGAAAGGGAGAAAGAAACATACATCGCTCATTCATTCACACCACCAGTGTGTCAAGCTTGGAATGCCAAGATGGGTCATTATTGATTGTGCATGTAAACCTGTCGGGCTTAAGCACACACACATGTATATATATATATATATATATATATATATTTATGCATGCATACATCCATACATACATGTGTGGGCGTGTACGTAGTCACACATACACATCGATGCATTATTCATAACAAAGTCCCTCAACATGTGATCTCTCTCTGTCCCTTCCTCTATCGACTGCATCCCCAGGACGAAAATGCTTTCTTTTTCGGCCTTGAATGACGGCTTGAAGTCATTAAGCAACGCGTATGCATTAACCGCCGTCGGATCCATTTAAGTTTGCGCCGGTACAAATTTGGTTTGGGTTTGTGTTTCGGTGGATCCGATGTCCACCCGCACGGCTCCGATTTTGTGGATCTGATTTCCGTCCTGATTTGTTTCGCGCGGATTCGATTGCTACCCCTCTTGGTACCAGAAGAACTCGGATCCGCGGACCCCGCAACCACAACCCGCCTGTGTCAAGATTCTACGGTGGAAAAAGGTGGGCTCGGTTATGAAATTCCCAAGATGTGTCCTGCGCTGTCTCGAGCACTCCCATCAACTCTTCGGGCGCGCGGGCCCCACTCTTCATGAATACATATCGCCTCTCGGTTGCTGCAAACAAATCGTCCAGACGCCGTACGTTCGGCAGCGCCGGAGTTGCCGCGCGAACTCCTCATCGCGGTTTTCCCCATAAGAGGACAATCTTGCGTCATGCGTAAGTACACGCACACCGCCCCGAGTACGACCTGCACATGTGGCACACGCCTACTTGTTCACTTTGCGGCGGGCACACATGCAATACACATTTCACAATCGCATGACACCAAATTTTCGGCGGAACATTGACCACGGACCGCGCGGGCTCCTCAGGACAGGCCGCGGCTTTCCAGCTGTTCGTGATTATCCTTCTCCTCCTTCAACTCTCTTTTGAATCCTCCTCCTGCTCCTCCTTATCCTGCTACTCTCTCCCTCCATTGCCCTTCAACACGCACATACACACACCCGAGAGACGATGGTAAACATCAGCCTTCGCGGCCGTTGCAACATCAGAGCGTGTGACCAAACGCGGCCAAACCAAGCGCATTGGCGACTAAGCAGCTTCTAGCGTATCCCTACGCCAAACACCGACAAGCCCAAGGCGATGACGATCTGAGGGATGTCATCAGAAACTGACAGAATGCTGAAGATCGGCACCGAAATACGGAAATGCCAATCATAGAAACTGTGTTGCGCCACATCCAAGAACAGGATCTCGGTTCCTCTGGATCCCCCTCTTCCGCTCAGGGACACCTCACCCCCTCCCCTCCTCTGTTCTTCACTCACGCGCTCACACACTCGTCCTCAACATCACCATCACCACCATCATCATCACCATCACCACCATCATCATCGTCACCGCCATCATCATCACCATCATCAGCATCAGTATCATCATCATCATCACCACCACCACAATCATCATCATCATCATCACCACCACCACCATCATCATCGTCATCATCATCATCATCATCATCATTGCCATCATCAGCATCAACATTAGCAACATCATCAGTAACATCATCGGCATCAGCATCATCATCATCAGCATCAGCATCATCATCATCAGCATCACCATTATCAGCATCATCATCATCAGCATCACCATCAACATCAGCATCAGCATCAACAGCATTACCATTACAATCACCAGCATCATCAGCAGCATCAGCATCAGCATCATCATCAGCAGCAACAGCGTCATCACCACCGTCATCAGCAGCATCATCATCAACATCACCATCACCATCAGCATCTTCATAATAATCATCGCCATCACCATCATCAGCATCAGCAGCATCAGCATCAGCATCAGCATCAGCATCATCATCATCATCATCATCACCATCATCATCATCATCATCAGCATCAGCATCACAATCAGCATCAGCAGCATCAGCATCAGCACCATCACCAGCATCAGCATCAGTATCAGCATCAGCATCAGCATCACCATCATCATCATCATCATCATCATCATCATCATCATCATCAGCATCATCATTATCATCGTCATCGTCATCGTCGTCGTCATCATCATTCAGGGCGCTAGGACCGCTGCCTCGCACCACTCGCGCAGTGGCGAGGAAGCAGAACGCAAGAGGGCTGCAACGTCGCACGCCGCACCTTTCGGATGCCGCCACCTGCAGCAACGACGCGTTCTCGGTTACCTTGCGGGCCGTGTGGCGGCGGAAAAGCCGACGCGCGCCCGCAGGGGATGAATCCATATCACCTAACTTCGCTTTTCTTGGCGCCTCCAGGGGAGCACTGGATGAGTGGACGGCGCCATTGAACACCGAAGTGTATTCATTCAGCGATCAGTGCCCTATTTGGAGGGGTACCCTTGGGGCATTGGGGGTACCTTTCTGTTGCGCAATCTTGGGGTCATCTGGAAGCTCCCGCGTGCCCTGTCAGACAACCGTGGGGCATCCTGGGGGCCAGGATTGGGAGAATTACGCCCTCGCGGGGACATCGAGACAGCTGCGTGGTTGGCAGCCACCAGGCAGGCGAGGTCTCGTTTGCGTGCATGCAGGCCCGCACCTCGACGGACCGCCCAGGAGCCCACTAGTGTGCGACAGCTGCTCAACCGCCAGCACCCACGGAGGCGAAAAAGTATAGCCTGGGTGCTCGTAGGCCCGCGCCTCTTTGAATGGGGCCCAACGTCACACAAATCAGGATTCCCCATAGTTTATCATGTGTTCTGGATTTGTGTATTCCCCCCACTTCCCATACTTTCCAACATTTCCCGGGGAATCGTCGATACATTGTGTCTGTGTGTGTTTTGCTCCTCCTGACTCTTGGACATCCGGAAAGCTGGCGCGAAAGTGGCGACGGTTGCGCAATCGGCACCACCAAAGCAAGCGACGTCCAGTATGGGCAACCGTAGGCCCGCACTCCGCTGCACATCCCAGGAGCTCACGAGAGCGCGACACTTGCGTAGTTGCCCCCCCCACACACACACACGGAGGGGATGTCTAGTTTGGTAGCCCTTAGCCCGCATGCAGCCTGTATGCCGTCCCCCCGCTGAACCTCGCAAGGGGTCAAGGTCTTGGCGACAGATGTGCAGCTGGCAGCCTCCAAGGGTCTAGTTTGGAGGAAATTAGGGCGTTGCTCAACTGGACCTCCCAGGAGCTCACGAAAGTGGCGACAACTGCGCGGTTGCCATCACCCAAGGATGCGAGGTCTATGGTTTGGATCCTTTTGGGGCAAACCTCCACTGACCTCCCAGGAGCTCCTGATATCGGAAACAATTGCGCAGTTGCCAGCACCCGGCCAGGCCAAGTCCAATTAGGCGCCCGTAGGCCCGCACTCAGCTGGACCTCCCAGGATCTCTGTCACGAAAGTGGCGACAGGTGCGCAGTTGGCAGTCTCAAGGAATGCGAGGTCTTGTGAGGGTGCCCTTCAAGCCCGCACTCTGCTGGACCTCCCAGGAGCACGCAAAGAGGCGACGGTTGCGCATTTGGCAGCCCCCGAGGGAAGCGACTGGTTGGGAGCTCTTCAGGACTCCCAATCCGCAGCACCTCTTGAGGAGCTCACGACAATGGCGACAACTGCGTGGTTGCCATCACCCAAGGATGCGAGGTCTACTTTGATCCCTTTCGGGCTTCGCTTCGCTGGGCCTCCCTGGAGCTCTCGAAAGTGACGACGCTTGCGCAGCTGCCAGATCCCGAGGGAAGCGAGACCTAGTCTGGATGCCTGTAGGCCCGCACTCCGCTGGACCTCCCAGGAGCGACAGAGGAAAATGTGATTAGAAAGGAGGGGAGAGAAGGAGGAGGCAGGAGGGGATAGGAGAAGGAGAGGCGGGAAGGAGAAGGAGGAGGAGGAGGAGCAGGCAGCGGCGCTCCATTCCGAAACGAAGACCCGACGCGGGAGGTTTGGAAGAGCTCTGGCGCGAATCGTCCCTCCCCCCCCCCTCTACTGGGGGATGGCAAGGTGGGGCCGCACTGCAGAAAAAGAATCGCTCCAGGCGGGCCCCTGGGCCGGAACCTCATCGAACTGCCCTTTATTCTCGACCTTCATGTCATCGCTCTCCCCGACGCGTGCCGCTGTCTGATGTGATGCCTTCCCGGGAGACTTGCCGATGGCGGCAACAACAGCTTCACGGCGAATATGTAAACGGCACGCTGTCTTCTCACCTCCCTTGTCCGGGGCAAACGCGCTCTGGGAGAGGTCGGTCGGATCGCCGTGAGCATCCGGCTGGGTTCGCTCCCCGACCCACCATGGGATGACCCGCCTCCTCCTCCTCTTCCGCATCCTCCTCCTGCACAATTCCTCAATTCCTCAACTCCTCAACTCCTCCTCCTCCTCCTCCTTCTCCTCCTCCTCCTCCTCCTCCTCCTCTTCCTCCTCCTCCTCCTCATCATCATCACCCTGCTCAATTCCTCAACTCTTCACCTCCTCCTCCTCCTGCTCCTGCTCCTCCTCCTCCTCCTCATTCTCCTCCTCTTCCTCCTCCTCCTCCTCCTCCTCCTCCTCCTCCTCCTCCATTCCTTGTCCATAAAAATAAACAACTTCTCCCTGTCGCACCCCGAGGCCAGTTTTTAGGGCGGGCCAGGCGTTTCGCCTGAGACTTCCTCACCGTTCATGACCCTGATGCTTAAAACATGACAACCGTTTCATAAATTGAAGGTGGGCCGTTTTCAAAATGTGGCTCTCGCCATAGCGCTACGCACATTCGTCAAGAGCTTCACGGATTGAGGGCGACTATTTTTCGAAATGTGGATCTCGCCAAAGCGCGGCGCAAATTCGTTTTACACAAGTTACATCAAGTTTCACTGATTGAGGGCGAGTCGTTTTCAAGATGTGGCTCTCGCCTTGGCGCCGCGCACATTCGTCTTTTCAAAAGTAATACGAGTTTTACGGATTCCCATGATCAGCGTACCATAAATGGTGTTTGGGAAGGGCTCGGCATTACGAGGGTGCAACAGTTACATTGATTCGCGGTGTTGACGTCCCAGAAATGGCGTTCTGGCACAATTCAAGATCGTCACGACTCAACTCTCAAGTTGATCCGTGGCGTTGGAATCCCGACAACAATGTTTTGGCATGCTTCAGGATCCTCATACAGTTGTCTTCCAATGGAAATGACCCGTTGCTGGGGCCTGTGAAAACAGATCTTGGAGGGAGGGTCTATTTCAACATCGCTGATGACTCTTGGGTTTACACTGGTCCTCCTCCTCCTCCTCCTCCTCCTCCTCCTCATCCTCCACCCTCGGCGTGCCCCCCGACCCCTCTGCAGGCCTCTCCGTGCACGCTCCCCGCCGGCCCGCCTGCTGCGTGTCGAAAGCTCAGAGCGCCGCGGCCAGCGGCCCCGAGCCCATCGCGGACGCCAGGGCGACCTCTCCCCCGCCGCCGCCGCCCCGCTCCTCCTCCTCCTCCTCGTCCTCTTCGTCTTCTCCTCCTCCTCCTCCTCCTCCTCCTCCTCCTCCTCCTCGTCCTCCTCCTCCTCCTCCTCCTCCTCATCCTCCTCCTCCCTCTCCTCCTCCTCCTCCCTCCTCCTCCTCCTCCGCTTCCTCCTCCTCCTCCTCCTCCTCCTCCTCCTCCTCTTCCTCCTCCTCCTCCTCCATTCCTTTTCCTGATACATCCGCCGACCCTGTCGGCGTGTGAAATGCGTTGTTCGTCGTCGTTGTTGTCCTCGTACGTACTCGTCGTCTTCTTTTCTGGGTCCGTCGCCGCTCCCCCTCTTTCCCTTGGCCCTCGTCCTCAAGCGCGCCAGCCAAAGCGAAATGAATCAACTCAGCCAAAACGAAATTAACAACGTTGTCATTGAGTCGAAGGGAAGTCCCTTCTCCTTCCCCGCCGGGGGGGGGAAGGTCCCGGGTCAAAATACCATCCCCCGCCTCTATGACTGCGCTGGAGGGGGGGGGGGTCGCCACGACAGGTCTGCAAGAGCGCCCCTAGACGGCCCAAGCCCCACAAGACGCCTAAGGACGGCCGAAGGGGGCCCTCAAACGGGTCAAAAGAGACCCACAAGGACTCTCAAGAAGGCCCGGAGAGACCATACTCATTGATTTTCGGAAAGGTTTTGTCCCCGCCCTCTCCCTCCCATTTCCGTCGAGAGCCGAGGCCTCCAGAATTGGTTGCTCCTACTCGCTTCCTCTCGCTGCTCCCCCACTCCAACTCCTTCTCCTCCTTCTCCTCCGCCTCGTCCTCCTCCTCCTCCGCATTCCTCTCGCTGCTCCCCCACTCCTCCTCCTCCTCCTCCTCCTCCTCCTCCTCCTCCTCCTCCTCCTCCTGCTCCTCATCCTTCCCCCCCCTCCTCCTCCCTCATCCGCCTCCTCCACTCTTCCCCTTCCCCAACCCCACTCCTCCTCCGCCTTCGCCTCCTACCCCCCCCCCGCGCTCGTTTTCATCTTCGTCGTCGTCAGGGTCGGCGGCACTGGCCGTAAGGCCTTTGCAATATCTTCTCCTTGTCGCACCCCGAGGCCAGTTTTCAGGGCGGGCCGGGCGTTTCGCCTGAGATATCCTCACCATTTATGATTCTGAAGCTTAGAATTTGGCAACGGTTTCACGGATTGAGGGAGGGTGGTTGTCAAAATGTGGCTCTCGCCTTAGCGCGGCGCACAATCGTTTAAAATATTTGCAAGAGCTTCACGGATTGAGGACGGGTCGTTTACAAAATGTGGCTCTCGCCTTAGCGCGGCGCGCATTCGTTTTAAACCTTAGCAAGAGTTTCATCGATTGAGGGCGGGTCGTTTTCAAAATGTGGCTCTCGCCAAAGCGCTACGCATATTCGTTACGAGCTTCACGGATTGAGGGCGGGTCGTTTTCAAAATGTGGCTCTCGCCTTAGCGCCGCGCGCATTCGTTGTACAAAAGTTATAAGAGTTTCACGGAATGAGGGCGAGTCGTTTTCAAGATGTGGCTCTCGCCTTGGCGCCGCGCACATTCGTTTATACAAATTGCAAGAGTTTCACGGGTTAAGGGCGAGTGGTTTTCAAAATGTGGCTCTCGCCTTAGCGCCGCGCACATTCGTTTCAACACATTGCGCGATTTTCAAGGCTTGAGGGCGAGTGGTTTCCAAAATAAGACTCTCGCCTCAGCGCCACGCACATTCGTTTTTAACATTTGCAAGAGTTTCACGGATTCCCATCAATACCATACCATATACGGTGTGTTCGAAGGATCCATGATCATGCGGGTGCAACAGTTACACTGATTCGCCGTGTTGAAGTCGTAGGAATGGCGTTCTGGCACGATTCAGGATCGCCAAGACGCACCAGTCAGGTTGATCCGTGGTTTTGGAATCCCGAGAACAATGTTTTAGCATGCTTCAGGTTCTTCAAACGGGTGTCTTCCAACCAGGCAGTTTCATCAATGAGAATGAACCGTTGTAGGGGCCTATGAAGAGAGAGCTTGGAGGGATGGCTCACTCCAACATCGATGATGGCTCTTGGGTTTACACTGGTCCTGCTCCTCCTCCTCCTGCTCCTCCCCCTCTTCTCCAGTGTAGCCTGGCGACCTCCCTGATAAGACGAAGCCAGGACGAGTAGAACATCGGGTGAGGATGAAATCGAAGATCTCCGGGATTCGGCGGCTCTGGAGGATGTGTCGGGCGCCGCGGCCTTCTCACAGCGTTCCGGAACTCTCTGAGAGCGTTGCGGAACGCTCTGGAGCGGATTTGTCCTCGTCCCAGCCCCGTCCGATCCCTGGAGCCCTGGAGGCTGCCCACACGGGGCACGATTGGATGGCGCACGAGGGTCGCGCCACATCGCCGATGCATCGGCAACGTCGGGACAGACACGATTGGGCTCCAGATCGTGCCGCATCGGCGGCGCAGTGGCGATACGGCGAGATCTTCCGAAGCCATCCACTGCGTATCTATGTTTGACGGCCAGGACTCCCTGGCCGGGAAGCGGGAAGATCGACGATCGAAACTTCGAAGTTGTGTTCAAGGGCCCTCCGGGGACCTCTGGGCAGGGACGTGGATCCAAGGGATGGATCTACACATATCCACCACATGGGGAACCGATCTTCCTGGATCAGACCTCGAGGCTGTGTGCGTTTGCGTGGGAGCGTGTGTGTGTGTGTGCGCGTGTGTGCGCGCGTGTGCGACGTCTCGTGCACTGTGCCTTCGACAATGCTCGATCGCAACTAACACTTCCATCTGCTGCCCGCGCTTGAGGCCCCTCTGCGCAGTCGTGTGTGTGTAGAGCTGGGGGGGAGGGGGTTAAACCGGTCCCCCTGGGGCTCAAGTAGATCTACATCCGCGACTTCCCAGGTACAGGGAAATCGTTCCCCATGCGGTGGATCTGTCGAAGTCCCGGCCTCGCATTCGGGACCTCTGGATGCCTCGGTGGCCCCAGAGCGGCAGATGGCCAGAGAGGGGGCCCAGGGGAGGAGGAAAGGCCGAGGAGGGAGACGGCGGGGAAGCACGCAGGACGGAGCGTGTCGCTCTTGCCTCCTCCTCGGACACTCGAAGTGGGCAGGGGAAAACATGGGTACGATGCGAGACAGCATGTCTCGTCCAAGCCCGACAGCGGGCGCTGTTCGGCAGGCGGACTTCGGTCTCGAATGGACAATGTCTGGGGCAACACCGACGGCGAGCCATGGTCAAAATGAACAGGAACTGGTGTCGGTCTTTGTACCCATTCCGTCCGTGCCCACGTCGACCGTCCCGATCCTCCGTCCTCCTCCTCCTCCTCCTCCTCCTCCTCCTCCGTCTCCCTCCTCCTCCGAATCCCGAGTCGCCCTCGACATCGCAAGGCGTCAGGCCCTCCACCAGCTCCCTGGGCCGAGGGCGGTCGCCGTGGCGCTCTCTCGCGCCGCCCTGCTGCAGAGGAGCACCTCTATGACCGGCTCCGTGCAAGGCGAGGCATCCGTCTTCGCCAACTCGTCCGATTGTCCTCGATTTCGGGTCCACCGGCCGAGAGACCCCCAGGGGAGTCAGCATGCACCTCCTCTTTCCCACTTCCATTCGACAGTGGCCTCCTTCGGCTCCCCCGCTGGGCCACACATTCTGTTAGTTTCCTTGGTGAGCGGAGGCGAAAAAGGAGAGAGGAGAAGGACAAGGACGAGGAGGAAGATTAGGAGACGGACGCCGGTCAATAAACTGCGCGAGTGACTTACTGGTGGTCCTTCTCTCCGCAGCTGCTCGCTGTCCTCTACCACCAGTGTCCGACCACTGTTCTTGCGCGGTTGAAAGACATGTGCTGCAACGTCTACCATTATGTACGTTCGCGTCTGGTAGATCGATTGGATGGGAATATCGCGTTCCTGAGCCAAACAGATTTCCGCAACGGCACCCAGACAACGACTAGCACAGAAGGCTGCAGAGCGGATGAGAGGGACTTGGAGAACGAGGCTGGTTCTGGAAGGTAGCATCATCAAGACGAACCAAGACGAGCAGTCCGATGGAGGAGTGGCGGATGATTCACCCAGACGAAGGGTGAGCAACACGGGGCACAATCTGTTGGTCAACAGGCGAAGGAGAGAGGGACTTAAAACAAATATCATCGGTATGCGATGAAGGACACATTCTCATATTGCGGAGGCAAAGGTGCCAAGACGACTCCCCGAATACAAGGAAGAGATAAGTATAGTTCACCGTGGGTCTAAAGAATTGCCTATCCTGAACACGCGCCCTCCCGCCACCAAACAACCGCTTATCCCACACATGTCTGAAAGCAATGCTGCGCTGCAGGGGGAGGGAGCAGCGCGAGGAGAACCCGAATGGGTCGGAGGAGCGGGAGGAACACGGCGAGAACACTTCGAGCCGCCTGGAAGAGGGAAGACACGCGCGAGCGGTGCCAGATCGCCGGGATGGGCCTGGTGTGTGGGCCCGGTGTGTGTGTGTATGTGTGTGTGTGTGTCGGGGGGAAGGGTGAGGACATCTGAAACTAGTTGTGGCACTCTGCCATCTCCTTCTCGCTCTTCGTACTCTGCTTCTTAGCGCCGTATTCCTGGCACCTGAGGCCTGGGGTGGCCACGCCCGACCCAGGCGCCTCGAGGGCCCCCGGCACATCCTCGGCGCGCCCTCGGGCCCGAGCAGAAAACGTCTGAGACTCCTCGAGGCCCAGGAGGAGGAGGAGGAGGAGGAGGAGGAGGAGGAGGAGGAGGAGGAGGAGGAGGAGGACGGGAGGAGAGGAGGAGGAGGAGGAGGAGGAGGAGGAGGAGGAGGAGGAGAAAACGTCTGAGACTCCTCGAGGCCCAGACTCCGGCCGGAAGGCCGCCCGCCGCCCGCGGGTCGGCGGGTCGCCGGCGGGTCGGCAGGAGGCGCGAACGCGGGCGGGCGCGCGCGCGCGCACGGGGGACACAAAGGGGGGGGGGGGGCGTCCGAGAGGCCGCGCGTCGTGGCCTGAGGCGTGTGCGCGGACGAGGGGGGGGGCGGGGCCGTGGAGACTGATTGTAAGAGGAGCAGCGGGGGCCCCGATATTGAAGGGGCCCTGGGACACACAAATAAATACACACAGATAAAAAGATTCCCCATATTTTCCCATATTCTCTGGACTTTTGTCTTCCCGCCCAATTCCCATACTTTCGCATATTGTCTGGGGAGTCGACGAATAATTGTGTCTGTGTGTTTTTTCCCCTCCTGAGAGATCCGGGGAGAGATCCCGGCAGTGATGTTCACGCCCCCGGTCCTCATGCCCCCCTCCCGGCGGCCCCCCAGCGGGTGGGCAGACTCGCCGGCGCGCCGGCACGTGCCTGAGGCTGCACGTCAAGGATGGTGAACGGGTCGAACTTCTGGATCTCCGTCTCGTTGCCCAGCTGCCGCTGTGCGCGGAGATGGGTCGAATACCGAAGCCGGATCGGATCGAGAGCGGATGGGGTCGCCAGCGATCCGCCCTGGATCTAACTAAAATCGGATCGCCGCCCCAGGCTCCAGCTGGCCCCTGGTGGATGCCCGTGGATCAAACCAAATCAAATCGAATCGGAGTCGCAGCCCCATCTGGCGAATCGGATCGCACCGTCCCCCGTCCCTGGGAGGGTGGGAGGACGCGGGAAGAATGACGGGGGAGAATTCTGACGTCGTTCGCCACGCTTGCCACGGCTGGATCTGCCGCTCCGGAAAATCCCAGGCCAGGCCACAATCCTGGACAGGTGCGAATTTGCATTTTGAGGGAAGAACGTGAGCAGAAACATGGTGAGAGGGATAATGTGGAACGGGAGTGGGAACATATCTGTCTCAGACTGCAAGGCTGTGGCTGCGCACAGAGAAGGAAGAGGAGGAGGAGGAGGAGGAGGAGGAGGAGGAGGAGGAGGAGGAGGAATGAGACCTCAAGACCTTCAAACGCTTTCCTGCCAGGCAGACCCAAGCGCCCTCCAAAAACCCCCCAATCGGGGCAACTGAGCGACGATCAGAAACGGGTATTGCGCGAGCGCTGCACGCCACACACGGGACGAGAGTGCTCACGCGCGACCTTACGCGGGGACCGTACGCGCCAATGCCGGCGCAGGTGGACCTCTTTTTCTCGTCGCCCAGCAAATGGAAAGGAGGAGAGGGAGGGAGGCGAGGGCCCCTTCAACGGGGTCTTCGATAAACCAGGACGCTGGCGCGACGGAGAAACCTGCCGGCGTGGGTCGAAACACTCCCCCCTGGTCCTCCCCAGGCGAGACATTCAGTGGCCCTGGGGTTGGCGAGGGTCCAGGACCCTGGCCGGCGGGAGAGCGTTTGCCCTACCTCCCATCCCTCTCTTGGCGGCGCGCACAAGGGGGGATGGGGGAGGGGGGAAGGCTTCTTAGGAGGCTGCTGCTTAGAAAGCGCCAGCCCTACATCTACAGACAGGGCCCGCGCGTTCCGAGAAGCAGGGGTGCTCCTGAGAAGCCTTCCTCCCTGCCCCCCACCCCCCTCTGCGCGTGGCCGACTCCCCCCGCACGCCGCACGCGGCACCAGGCCCTCGCCGCGCTCCGCGGCCACCCGCGCGACCCCCGCCCGCTCCTGCCGGAGACGCCCGACTTTCTGGGAGCAGACCCCGCCACGGGAGGCCCGAGGGGCGCCACGGCACAGCCTCGCAGCCGGCCCACGCCGCGAAGCCGAGCCCCCGGCACTCTCCGAGCCGAGGCATGCCTGGGCGGAACCCAAGAAGCGGGAGCAGAACATGTGACCTCGAAGGCGAGATGAGGAGGAGGAGGAGGAGGAAGAGGAGGAGGAGGAGGAAGAGGAGGAGGAGGAGGAGGAGGAGGAGGAGGAGGAACCTCATGGGAGCCTCCACTACGATCTTGTTGGCTCTTGCAAATCCACGCAGATCGACACTACATGGAAGCTAATCGGCGCTTATCGACACTATCTCGCCGCTATCCCATCGACTACCAGACGCTAATCGACGCTGGTGCGCTCCAAAGATGGAATAGTGAGGGTGCACAATGTTCCCATGACTTGCTACCGAAGGATTGGCAGGACCCCCGCTGCCTCGTTGCTCAGCCGCCGCTGCGCTGGGAATATTCTTCCTCCCTCCCTCCTCGGATCCCTCCGAGCCAAGACGGCGAAGCCTCAACCTCCCCCCGCGACGACGACGACGAAGTTGGGGGCGTCGGCGGCGACGATATCGTGCCAACTCTGGCCCCCTCAGGCTCAGGACCAACTCGAATGCGCATGTACGCCACACACTAGGCCGTGACCTGGTGCATGACAGGTGGCGACACTCTCCCGATCAATGGTACTATGAAGAGAGTTCCACCTTCCCCGCCTGCGAGCGATGCGCTACTCCGGGCACCTTTTGTTGGCACTTGGGGTTCCGAAAAAATACAAACACCGCTACCCCCTGAGCCTTTCCCAGGGTGCGCTCTGACCAGGCGATCCAGCATCGGTATCGGTATATGCGCGTTCCACCCCGTAGCCAGCGCATGCAGTGCACCAGCCTGTGCCAGCTTGGAGGGCACTGACCCTCTCGCACCCACCTCCCCCTGCGGCGCAAGCAAGATCGTCGCGAGGCCACGGTGCCGAACACGCCGGCCCACATGGAAGCCAGGGTCACCAACTGCGCGCGGGCTTTGCTGAGGAGGGAAGGGGAGCAACGGCGAGCCCGATCTCCAACATCGGTTGATGTTCACCGTTACGACGCGGGCCCCTCCGATCTCTCGAACCACATCCCGTGGCTAATTCTGTTCTCCCGCACGACCTTCTCTCGAGCGCCCTTGGGCCTGACACGAGCCTCTGGAGCCGAGGTAGAGGAATTGCCAGGGCCGTCGCCGCCTCGATGTTTTCGAGACGCTTGGGGGTCTGAGGGGGGAAGGGAAAGAAAGAGAGAGAGAGAGAGAGAAATAGGGAGAGATACATAAAGAGAGAGAGAGAGAGAGAGAGAAAAAAAAAAATCAGACGGGTAAAACCAACACAAAAGAGACAGAAACAGAAACAATAGGGTTGAAGAGAGAGGGAGAAAGAGAGAGAGAGAGAGAAAGAGAGAAAGAGAGAGACAGAGAACACGAAGAGAGAACGAGAGAGAGAGAGAGAGATGTGTGTGTGAGTGTGTGTGTATGCATACTCCTGGGACTTGACATCCTGCATGGCCCTCCCCACTGGGATACCCCCTCCCTGGGCCTCCCTGGCTCGCCGCCTGCACTCTTCTGGGCGCCGAGGAGGCCCCAGAGCACTCGCCGCGACTCCCAAGATGGGCAGGAGAGCCCGAGGATGGCTCCCTCATGGCCCCAAGATGGCCACAACCCCACCCAGCAGGCTCCCAAGACGGCCCCGACAGAGCCCCAAGAGCGCCGCCAGAAGCACACACCGTTGTATTTCTGGTTGTTTTGGGCGGATGTGGTGGTTCCCGTTGATTCCCCTTTGGTTTTGGACGGAGTTTGGGGATTCTCCCCATTTCGAGTTTCCTGTGGCCCCCGACGAACACATGGGCTTTCAAGATCACCCACAGACGGCCGCAGCAGCCTCCAGGACGGCCCCAACACTGCCCAAGAGTGCCCCGAGAGCCCAAAATTGCCCCACCACAACGGCGCCCAGGAAGCTGGAACTGCCCAAGAGGGCCCCGAGCCGCCGAAGAGTGCTCCAAAGGGGCGCCCAAGAAACCTTCCTAAAACGCAGGGAGCTCCTGAGACGGCCCCGAGGGACCGTATGTCACAGCCCAAGGTGGCCCTGGGGCGATGCACGCGGCCTCCAAGACGCCCCAGGGAGGTCTCCGACAGCCCTTCAATATTGCCCAACATGTGTCCCGAGGGGCCTTCAAAGGGCCCTAGGGCGGTTCCCGAGTGGTACCCATATTGCCACAACGCGGCCCGAAGAACCCCCCTAAAAACCCCAGAACACCCTCAAGACGGCCGCCAGAGGCAAACGCCAGTTTTGGTGGTCCCCAAACGTGGTGGTGAGAACACCCGGTGGTGAGTTTTGGGCGATTTGGGTAATGGTTTTCGAGCGCTGGCTGGCCCAGGAAACGCAAAACCTAGTGGCGACCGCGTGTCCCCAAACCCGGTGGTGACCCAGAATTATTTTCTGGGGGAATCGGGGTCACCAACGGGTGTCTCACCACCTGGTTTGGAGACCACCAACAGTTGTTTCCTGTCGGTTTGGGACCGGAGTGTGGGGGCTCTGCCCATCTCGAACTTCCTGTGGCCCGCGACGAACCCAGGAGCGTCCCGGATCGCCCCCTGCACGGCTGCAGCGGCCCCAACGCCGCCCGCACGCGCCACCAGACGCCCAAAAATGCCCCAAGACGGCGTCCAGGACACCCCACAAAAGCCTGAACGGGGTTCCCGAAACGGTCCCGAAGGACCGTACGCCGATCCAATATAGCCCTGGAACGATGCTCGCGGTTTCCGAAACGCCCCAGAGAGGTCTCCGACAGTCCACCAATACTGCCTAACATGTGTGTCTTCAGAGGCTCCCAAAAAACCCTCGAAAGGTTCTCGATCGCCTCAAACACTTTCCAAAAGGCTACAAGCAATCTCCCGAACCGCTTCCAACAAGGCAACACGTACTCCTGCAGTTGCTCGTCGTCCTCATTCTTCTCCCCCTTCTTTTCGGACCCCATCGCGTTGCACTCTGACTTTCGCGACGGTCCCGAAAACGCACACGGGGACCCCAAGATGTCCCCAGGAAGCCGCATGAATGGCCCAAAATGGCGCCAGCACGACCCTTCCTTTCCCCGTCAGCTCGTCCTTCTGTTCCTCCCCCTCCCCTGCCTCAACCGTCGTACTCCTCCCTCCCTCGTCGCCTTAATCCACCTGACAGCTAGTCCAAACTGCAGGTGCCCGAGGACCGCTTGCAAAAATCAGGGCCGTCGAACAAGTACTCGGGAGGACAAGCCAGTCTCAGGAAGTCGAAAGCGGGGTGGCGCACCAGCATTTGGAAACAACTCGCAGGTCGAAGGGTCAACGACTCGATCTGCGCGGATCGTTTTGGGCGTGTGCTGTTCCGCGCATGCATATCTAACAAGAAAAGCGTCATTTCATTTCCCTGCCCAACTGTTTGTTTCAGCAGCCGGTAGGTCGTTCAGCAACCGTGACCTTGACCCCCCCTCGCTGTCATCACGTTCGCTCCTTTCATGGTTTAACTACACCTGTAACCCCTCAATTCCATGACACATACCCCGCTCACGGCTACCCCCTCTTTTATAGGGGTTCGCCGTGGCCCACCCCGTCTCCGTATTGCCGACAACCGTGCCCGGGCTACGACTTGTGACTCGTGCCCCGGCCATGTAACCTCCATCAAGGTCATGATTACGTAGGACCCTTTTCGGATCATGGCCTTCACCCCCCTCGCGGTCATCTCATCGGTTTTTGTTCCCACACCTCGGCCTCGAGGCCGCGGCCCACACCCCGTTGCGCCGCAACCTGCGCCCCGGTAGCGGTCAGGGCGTGCACGCCCTCCACGTCATAACCGTCACCCTTTGTTGGATTCCGTGCTAACCCATGCATCGAGATCCTCCCCTTCGCCCCCGCCGCAACCATTCCCTTCCCCCATGGCTCATGGCCCGAACATGCCTCTAGACTCCTTCTGTCACATGACCCGCACCCGCCTTCTGGTCATTACCCGTCCGCTCGGATGAATCCCGCGGCAGTCCCCAACCAGTGCCTGGACGCAGGACCTAGATTTGAGGCGAAGCGGACCAAGCGTTGAGGCGAAGCGAAGCGAGTTCTCAAGCATCGTACACCCATAGAGAGAGTCCCAAAAAGAAACAGAGAGAGAGAGAGAGGCAGAGAAAGAGAGAGAGAGAGAGAGATGGAGAAAGTGAGAGAGAGAGAAAGAGAGAGAGACAGGGAGAGAGAGAGATAGAGAGAGAGAGAGAGAGAAACACAGAGGGTGGTGAGAAGGAACGCGCGCAGGCATCCCCCCCCCCCAACTGGACTGCTGGGGGTAGGATGCGTTGGTGCGCACTCGCGATGCTCGTGTCCGAGCCCCCCCCTCACCCTGCCTCGGCTGCGCCCGAAATGGGCTCCTTTTCTCTCCTCCGCCCCCACGCAGCCCCCATGGGGAAGCTGACATGCGTGGTACTTCCCCGCGGAGGCATCGCTGCGCGACTATAGGCGAACGACGACGGCGGCGAACGACCAACGACAACCGACTACAAACGGGCGAGGGACGACGAACGACGACCGACGAACGACGACGACGATGACGAGCGAACAAGGAATGGTGACCAGGACGTCCACTGTCGATGAGAGGCGAACGACAAAGAATGACGGACGACGAGCGACGAACGCCGAATGACAGCGCACATGCGGGCGTATCGCTACGCGACCACCGCGCGGGGGGTGGATGGCGGGTCTGCGTGGGAAAAAAAAAATAATAATAATAACAATAATAATAATTATTATTCTTTTTTTTTTTTAAAAAAAAAAAAAGTTTTTTTTTTGTAAAAAAAAAAATCTCGGGAACCCTCAGGCCACGTCAGGGTTCCATGGGTGCGGGCTCGCGCGTCGCATCGGCGGCGGCCTCGGCGCGCGACTTCCGCGCGGGGGTCGGCGCGCGGCGCCGAGGCAGCCTCCCTCGCGCGACCGTGTATAGCGCTCGCGCGCGCAGGAAGGGACTCGCGCGAAGCATCGGCGAACATCTCGGAAGGCAAATCCTCGCGCTGGCGTCGGCGCGCAGCGCCGGGCAGACTCCTCGCGCGACGGAGCAGCACAGACGAGGACGCGACTGAGTCGCGTCGCCAGCGGCCTCGGCGCACGATTTTCTCTCGCGGGGGGCGGCGCGCGGCGCCGAGGCAGCTTGCTCGCGCGACTTGCTAGCACTCGAGCGTGCAGGAAGGGACTCACGCGCCGCATCGGCGATGGTCCCGGAGCGCGAGTTCACGCGCAGGGGCCGGCGCGCGGCGCCGTGCAGCTTCCTCGCGCGCGCTGGCAGCGCCCGGACGCGCGGCGGAAGGCTCGCGCGTCGCATCGGCGTAGCGATGGTTCGGCGCCGTGGCCTCGACCCGCGAAGAAGATGGCGCCTCGCTGCGCGACGTCCGCTGCGCCCCGCGGCTGTCTCTGCGACTGCGCCGCAGAAGCGCCGCATATGCGGACGCATCGCTAAGCGACAACCGCGCGGGGTGAGGGCGGGGGGTCTGCAAGGCAAGAAATTGAACTGCCTTTTTCAGGGTCCGTCAGGCCGCGTCGACTGGGGATTCCTGCGGGCTTTCTGTGAATTCGTGCGGGCTCATGTGGCTCCCCTCATGCTTCCTGGAGTCTCTGGGGCCGTCTAAGGCTTCCCAAAGCTTCGTGGGGCCTGCTGGGGCTTCCTGGTGCCTCCTGGAGCATTTGGGAACGTCGAGGACTCTTGAGGAGCGGCTGGGACCCCTGGGAGCGCTTGGGCGCTCATGGCGCGTCTGGGAGCTCCTGAAAGTCTGGGGACTCCTGGGGACTCCTGGGGACTCCTGAAAGCGCCTTGGGCAGCCTAAGGAGCGCGTGGAGCCGCCGAGGAACTTATGGGCGCTCCTGGAGCGTTTGAAAGGGCCTGGGGACATCTCGGCGTCTGGGTGCGCCTGGAACCGCCTATGGCCGACTGGGGAACAGATGGCGCTGCTTGGGAACGTTCGGGCGGACCTGGAGTGTTTGGGAACGCCTGGGGGGGCGTTTGGGAGCGTGTGGGAGCGCCTGAGAGCGCAAGCGACCGCCTGCATAGCGGCCCTGGGCCAGGGCGGTTTGGGAGCGCTTCGGCGCTCCTGGAGCGTCTGGGAGCGCTGGGGAGCGCCTGGAAACGTCGGGGGCGCGAATCCTGTGGCTTTTCGCAGGGATCGCGGCCTCGGTGGCGCCGATCGCAAATCTCTTGCATGAGGAGTCTTAATCATGTGCCAATGTTTGGTCAGGCGTTGCTCGCATGCTGGAGCTCTTTGGTTTTGAGTGTGTGATGCCAGAGGGCCTTCAAAACTCCCTGCGACCCAGATTCGATCCAGAGAGGGAGTCATCCCTGCTGTGCTACACACACGGTGAGCAAGGCGTGGCCAGCATTCCGCACCGCTCGGAGGTGGGGGAGCTCATTCTACTCTAGCCCGCCGACCTAGTGCAGTTGGCACTCCGCTGAACGATCCGACCACTAGTCGTTCGCTGCCTGACGATTGTCAGGACCGACGCTCGCTCGCTCCGGCGAGAGAGAGAGAGAGGGAAAGAGAAAAAGACGGGCCTCTGTGAGCGGGCGCGTGCTGCGGGTCTACACTTGTCCAGAAGGGGCCGAGGCGCCAAGGAAACTCTCGCGCCCGATTCGGGGTACAGCCGAAAGTATGATCAGAAGCATTATCACTTACGAAATCTGAGCCAACTTCCCAGAAATGTCTTGAAACAAGCCTGGGCAAATTTCTGTTGTTGAGGCTGGAAGGGCGAACGTGCTCAACAAACTGGATCAAATGTCCGGGAAAGTGGTTAAGAAACGCTGGCCCAGCTAAACGGGCCAGACTTCCAACAATGTTTCGGGAGACAATTTCTGAACCACATGCTCAACTGTAATCGGACCCAGGGCAAACGCACAGACGGGGACACACCTACCGTGACAGAACCCATGGCGGGGCCAAGGTCGCAACTGCGAGCGCGGAGTCACCCGACACTGACCTGCCGTCTCACTCCAAGGCGCTGCGGGCAACACGTGGCAATCCATCTGCGACACTCCTCTCGCAAGAAGGTAATGGCAGGATGAAGTCAAACACAATTCAAAGGCGAGGCACCAAACCTGAACAAATCCGTAACAAAATGAGCACATCCGAAAGTGCGGCTGCAACCCGCACACCTACACACAGAGCGCGAGGCATGCGCCAGGCACACCTGCTCTAGCACTCTCACCTCTACACATCGGGGGATCGGCCTGCACTGGAAGTGTAAAGCGTCAGCATCGAAACGATAGGAACACTGCGCGCGAGCGGGTGCTGCCCGCAGGCAGTCCCTGAGTGACTCGGATAAGCCTCTGCCGTGTAGATGATGGGGCTATGTCCCAACCCTCGTGCAGACATCTGGGCGTTTCTGTATGGGGGCGATTAGTGGAAAGGCGAAGACACGTGGGTACCCCAGAGGGCCCCCGAAGGTGAACGATAGGTGCACCTTTCTTCACCCGCCCACTTATCGCCCCCGAGTTGCGCAACGCCCGAGACCTGCCTGCAGGCGAAAGGCCCGGAGGGGGAGGGACCTTGGGGGGCAAAAGACGAGCGGTAGGCAGGACGTGAGGAGCAGAAAGGGAAGGACACCACGGGGTCGAGGATGCGGGATGTGCAGATATGAGGGGGGGCGGGATCGAAGAAGCGCAAATACGGGGGAGGCGCGCTACCCAGAGAAGGCGATTGCTAGCCTAAACGAAGTGGGCTGACATTGGCAAAGCGATGCCGAGCAAACAGAGAGATAGAGAACGCCTGGCTGTCTGATCACAATCGCGCAGCATCATGGGCGCAACAAACGTGGGCTGCACCAGGGGGGAAGGGGGCAGCGCCCTGCAGGCAGGGCCATTCGCAACTCCCCCTGTCGCTCAGGATCCTCTGCCTTCACACCTGCCACTCCTGCTCTCTACCCCTATTTCCTGCCCGTACCGCATCTCCCCACCCCCTGTTCGCAGCTTCTCCCGCATGCATCCTGTAAACCTCCATGCCCACAATGCATCTCGAGCTTGCTTCCAATACCCCTGTGGTACCTCCTGCATCTCGGCACGAGTAGAGCACACGGAGGGTAGCAAAAAGGGCAATGATGAGGGCTCGTAGCGGACGCGAACGCATCCGATCCAGGGTTCAAAGTAGCGCAGTCGCGCCCTCATGCAGAACAAAAAGCAATGCCGCCTTGACAATCAGCAGACACGTTGTCTTCGGTGTCCATCGCTTCGAAGCCCGCCGCGCCTGGCATGGCGCGGAATAGCAAAACTCGTGTTCCTTGCGACATTGGGCCTTCGAGACAATGCGCTCGAGGCAAACACCGCGATGCCGATATCAGTAAATGGTTTCGTCCTCCACAGAATAGAAAGCCACGTGTATTTAGCGTGTCGCATCTCGCAAGGCATGCACCACGCATTCAAATTTGAACGTTCAGGTTCACAACGTGCCAACAAACCTTCAAAGCTATCACGGCTACATACGGCACGTGCGACATTGGACAACCCGTCGCTGCATCTAGATTTGACGTGGCGGCACCGCAAACGCTGACACTATATTTTGTATGCCAACACGGCTGACGGCTATCCTCCTCAACCACATGTTATGGGACGGCCGTTCCCTGCATCAACACCAACTCTGACACTTCGCTACGCGCAACTCGCTTACGCACTCTGCACGGTGCTTGCACAATGACAGGACAACACGTTGCCACCTGATCTACCTTCTCCACCATGTCAGCTGTTCCACAGTATCGGTAGGTACAGCCGGAACAGTTTCTTCTGGGGAAGCCCTTCTCCACCTGAGGGGCGCGCCCGCCGTGCTGATGCGCAGAGGAAACTGATCCCGATACCTCCGACGCAAGAGCTGTGCCATGGCCAGGCCCCGTCGACGACTTCCTCCTGGGACACTCCTCCGCGCCGGGCCACGCTGTGCTGGCCCCAGGGCCTCAGAGCAGCCCCCCAGGCGCCGACAGCACTGAAGGGCGCCCGTGGCGCGCCCACTTCCGCGGCGAGGGGTCCTGGGCCTCGTGTGCTGCCGCGCGCGGCCCCGCCGAGAGGCACGTGCCCACCCCTCCGGGCGGCGCGGCGAGCCGGCTCTGGGCACGGAGCAGGCAAGCTCAGAACGGTCGGCGACGTCATCCCACCACCGCGCTTCCAAGATCGGCCCGGAGACTGGTGTCTCCCCCTCCTCTGTTCACCACCCGCATCCGCTCTCTCCCACCCCTCCCTCCCCATCCTGAGAACTTCGAGTGGGGTGACGTCTCGGGCACCTGGGAGCCTGTGAGTTCCGTGGACGGGAATTGTCTTCAGTCCAGCATCGCTGAGGTTTCGCGAGCTGGACGGGCCGTCTTCCAGCTCGCCTCTCTGCTGCCGTCGCCGTACTCGCTGTGGCATCCGGCACTGCACTGCCTCCCTGGCGGCAGGCTGGAATCTTTGAATCGGTCGGGTGCGCTCTCCTGTCGCAGTGGGTTGCCAACCTCTGCGAGACAGCCGAGCAGGAGCAGCGGGGCGCCTCCGCCCTGAGCCTCGGCGCGCGGGCCACGGCGAGGGGCCCCTCCACCCCCACGCCGTGGCCTCCGGCCCTCGTGCCCTCTCTCGGGGAAGTGTGAGGCTCGGGCTCGGGGGACTCGGGTCGGCACGACGTGGCCATCGTGAAAATGACGAGGCCCAATCTGAAATTTGACGCGAGCCTCCGCTGCAGGCATCCCTCGAAGACTGGACCGTCAAAACCCAGGACGCGCTCGTCACGGAGCGTCGGCGAACCCGAGTTCTGGCGTGCTCGAGTCTTACGTTTCCCCGACTCTTCTTCCAACGCCAGCGCCAGAGGTCTCTTCGTGGGGCCTCGCAGGTCGCCTCGCCCTCGTCCTCAACGCCTCTCCATCTGCGACACGGCGACCGGGAGTCCAGGACAGAAGGCATTGAGTTGCTGACCCGCTGGAGTCGCCCAGGGGTCAGAGCTTGGGGCTGCACCATGACTGGATCTCTCCCCGGGGCACCCGTTCGAGGGCCCTGCCCTGCCGTCGTAGGCCGTCGCGTCCGCGCCCTCCCCCTCCTCCCGCCTGCGCCTCCAGGACGGGCGCAGGGCGCAGGCAAACTGACGCCAACAACTCGGTCGACCCCTGATACACGCGGCGGAGCCCAGGAAGGTGGATCGCGCGCCGCGCGGCGCCGCGGCCTCCGCAGCGTGCTCTGGAACGCTCCCCTGAAATCCGACGACGCGTTGCAAAAATCGCAACTGGACCCGTAGACCCCATCTTTCTGCTGCGCTGTTTTTCGAGTCCGATCGATCTGTGAGGGTCCCAGTGCCCGAAATCATCCGAAAACGCCCGGCTCCAAAACAAATGGCGACGCAAAGATCTCAGGGTCCTGGCCCTGGCCAGGGCCCCTGGCCCTCGGGGGTGGACAGCAGCAGTCCTGCAGCAGGCCATCCGCTGGAAAAAAACGGCCTGGGACCAGACCAGGCAGGCGCAGCCCGGCCCACGCGCGGCCGCGGCGACCCCTCGAGAGCCGCAACAGGGCAGCGCGCCCCACGTGCCATCACTCGGACGTCCATTCCCCGTGCACGTTTCGCTATCGTGCGCTTCTTCTACCCTCTGGGCCATAACGCGCGTCATGCCCCCGAATTACCTTACCCCCCCTCCCCCCCCATAACTAACGTAAGACTCCCCCCCTCGGTGCGACCCAGGCACTGCCGCAGTGCGTCTGGCCCCAGTCTGGGGGGGTGGCGCTACATTATGCCCCCTCCCGACCCCCCCTCCCTCCTCCCCCAGCCGCGAATTAAAGAAAGCGGTTTAGATGGTCCAAGACGAAGGTACACGTCTGAGCGACGCCAAGCCAATCGACTTACCTAGAATAAGGGACGTTCTATCAACTCCCGGACCCCCCGCCTCC